TGTATAGTAGGGATAGTGATAGTGGGTAAGTCGGGCATGGCCGACCAACCTAAGGCATAGTCTAGCTCCTACTTGCGTGTCTGTCCTTGTTCTGCGTCCGGCTTGGGTCTAAGCCCAAGTTCCATTCCATGCTAGCTGGTGGAGTACCTATATCCTCACGTTAGGCCATCGGTATGCTGAAATAGCGCCAGACTCCATTTGGCTCCGTTTTGCATGCTGGTCTTGGCATTGGGATGTTGGTTGCTCTAGGACTATTCCAAGTCGCTCCAGACTCCTGTCCCTTCGCTCCTTGGGCTGTATGCTTGGGAGTTGCTCTGTGGTTCGGTTCTGTCACTCCTTGGCTCCATGCTTGGGAGTTTAGCATTGTTCTTTCTTTCAATGGCCCAAGGCCTTGAACCGAGGGTTCCACACCACGTTCATTTGGACACGTGGCATGTGACACGTGGCATCTGTCACATGGCACAAAGAGGGTTTAGGTTCCGCTTCGTGGTGTTATCCTATGGTAAATCACCATAGGATAGAGGGTAAAAACCACGTGCGCTACACAAACATCGAAATGTTGAGCAAAGGTAATTACACCTTCCACCATGTATGGAAGAATTCCTTAGGTAACTAAACCATGTTTCGCAACAAAGTTTGCCGAAACAAAGTTGTTATCGCTCCCACTATCCAGTAAAATCCGTACCAGATTGCCACCGAATATGCCCAAAGTTGATTCACAAGTATCCTTGAGTAGTTGAGTTGACAAGCAATGATCGAAAGTCTCTTCCTCCAACTGGAATGGTCATTCTCGTCATTCTCACGTTGCAAACTGCCATTCTTCTTATCTTGTTGCTTGTTCTTCATATAAGCTCCTAAGTTTGGATTTCCCGGGAGGTCACCCAGCCCAGTACTATTCAAACCCAAGGACGCTTAACTCCAACTATCCGAAGACCCTTAACCAATTGGAAAAGGGGGTGCACTCTTATTTATGGGCCTTTTCCTTCTATATTTGAACCCCATAGACCGTTTCTCAAGTCATTCCCTTTGGTTGCTTACAATCCACCACACTTCCCTGCAAGTTCACGCCCTCGTGAACGAAAGCTAAGAGCCGCAGCTCTCCTGAGAGCCCCGCTCTCTTGACACCCTACCCCTCGGGTCGAGCAACAATTCCCTTAGCCAACCAACAGAGTCGGACCCGAGACCTCTCTGATACCAAATGTAAGCTCCTAAGTTTGGACTTCCCGGGAGGTCACCCAACCCAGTACTATTCAAACCCAAGGACGCTTAACTCCAACTATCCCAAGACCCTTAACCAATTGGAAAAGGGGGTGCACTCTTATTTATGGGCCCTTTCCCTCTATATTTAAACCCCATAGACCGTTTCTCAAGTCGTTTCTTTTGGTTGCTTATACTTCAATTGTGGACAATTAACCTTGTAGTGTCCAAATTTGCTGCAATGATGACAACCCTATCTATAATTCTTTATAAAGAACTTCTTCTTCTTGGACCCCTTTGCATCTAAAGTAGTCACCACTAACTTCAACTTCTGATGCTTGTTCTCATCCTTGTGTCCACAGTGATCATCACAACAATTCTCAACAAAAGGACTTCACAAATGCTTGTGAGACTTGTGCTTATTATTGTCAAGTTGACGAACCGCATCAAAGAGCTCCTCCAAACTCTTTGTAAGCTGAGAATGACGCAAGTGTTGTTGCATACTCTCACTATGAATGCCATCAATGAAGTAAAACTTGTTCTAATCTGGATCCTTTGTTGAAACACGACTAATCAAGTGAGTAAACTTCTCAATATAGTCCCTGAGCGTTATTTTCCCTTGTTGGAAATGTCAAAGTTTAGTACAAGCATTCTTCATATCGTAATGAGGGGGCAAAACGTAAACGGAAAGTAACCTCAAACTCATTCATGGTAGACACTGATGGTTTCTTATCCGCAACACGAGACTCCTCAAGCCAATTCCACCATCGAAAACCCACATCACACAAAACCATTGGAATAGCCACTAAAGCCTTTGCATCTAGAGTTCCTCTAGCAGCCAACAACTTCTTCACATTAACTAGCCAAGTGAGACACTCATCCACACCACTATCACCAGAAAAGGTTGGAATCTTGAATTAATCTACCAAAGAAGACTTATTTGGAGTGTTACCACGTTTAGCCTCAAGTGCTTCAACATGCCTACGCATGGTATCCATCATGCCATGCATTTTGTCTTGCATCTTTTGTTGATTTCAATTAAGGGTTTGCAACTCATGAACCACATCTTGAATAGTCCAAATCTCCGTAACTCTATTGGCACCATCATTAACACCACCATTGACAATAAAATTCCAATGTTCAACTTGGTTGGCCATCACAACCAACTCTTCTAATACCAATGTTATGATCTAGTGCAAAAAAAACAAAGTTCTAACTACCTTAGATTATGTTATATCTTTTAAGGTTCCTCACCACCCAACCACCCCCAAGCTACCTCATAAACTCCATTGTGCTGCCGCTCCCTTTGACCGACGTTGACCACGTGGTCAAAGCTGGCACCTAACAGCCAGGCCTGTAGCCAAGCGCAAGTTTCTGTTCAAGCACGGTGTGCCTAAGCACATTGAAGCGCAGCAGGATCCCCACACCACTGCCAAGCTGAGACAGCCACTGGAATCGGTCATGCCCAAGGAACGAACCTTTGCTTGAGAAAGATGGGGAGTGTTTGGTGATGCTTCTTCTTGTCCTGGTGCCTGGCAGCACAAAACGAATTAAAGTTTTAAGCACAAGTCTACAAGAAACACACGCTAGATAAACTCCTCCCTCGCCCTCCTTGCCTGGGCAATCTCTCGACATTCCACAAGCGAACTTTGTCGCACCCCGAGATAATTCCTGTTCCGATGGTAGTTCAACACTCACATGAAAGCATTGAGAGTGAAAGAATGATGTCAGTTCGTTAGTATTTCAAAACGTGAAGGACTCTGAAGATAGCCAGTATCGATCAAGCTCAAGACATAAGATTTAGGAACACTAACCTTTGCTTGATAAAGATCGAATCAATACAAGGAGAATGTTTTGGTGATGCTTCTTGTCCTGGTGGCTGGCCTCGCAGCAGCTCGGCAGCAGCACAGCCTGCAAAACTGCTCCTTGGCCACCCCCAGCACCGAGCAAACTCCAAACGAGACAAAATGTAGCACAATGAGGCCAGAGTACCTTGGCAAATAAGCAAATTTTGCCTTTGTCAGTGTCAACTGGACACAAGATAACGATTACCATATTGGTGCAGAAGCAGTGGTGATGTCCAAGAAGGGGTATGGCCACCTGAAGTTGCAAAAATTTAGCTCTAAATTCCATCACAACTCTTTTCGATCTTACCAGCTTACGCCTGTAGCATGCATTATCCACAAGAAGAGGGTGTAAGCAACACTCCACAGGGTGAAGTAGGCGCACCGAAACCATGGAAAAGGCTGCACGGACGACACAGTCACGACCACCATTTATAATTTCATATATACTAGAACTCACCATGGTGTTCACCATGAACTCTGTCAGAATAAACAAGGCGTTGATTCCATGAACGTTGATGTTGAGCTGCGGGATGTAAGTAAAGCAACGTGTTTTATTTCCGAGTCGATCAAGAAACTTACGAAGTTGTTTCGAAATCCGGATGGTATGACGAGTGGAACAAGAACGAGCCAAAACATCGCATCCGTGAGCAGCACGGCTGGAGCTGAGATCTAGCCAGAATAAAAGAAAGAAAGAAAAGGCAAGTGATTATAGCTTGCAAACTTGCTGACACGAAACAAAATACCTGAAACAAGATTTGCAGCAAGTAGCCCAGGCATCCAGCATTGGTTTCTTCCGGTGCTGTCGAAGCACCAGGTGATGAAACACCAGCTTCCTCCGGCGATCCCTTGAGAAGCGAGACACTCTGGGCGGTGTCTGTCTCTCGGCCACGATTGCAAAACATTCCTTTCGCACTCACCAGCGACGCAAGCTACAAAACAGTCCAGGCTCACGAAAGTAAAAAGAAAAAATCGTCTTTTTGGTAAGAGCGGAAAAGTTACCGCGAAATAGACGACAGTGAGAGTGAAAGTCCACCTGCAAGGGACACAGAAATTGATGCCTTGAGTGGAGGCTTCACACATTTTCTACCTACAAACCGAGAGTTAATTAGTGCTGAGACTTATAGAAAGGAAACAAAGCTTACTGTGTGTAGAAGCGATAGGAGAAAACCCCGTGGAAGCAAAGATCATAGACGAGAATCGGGAGAAAGTAGACGAATCCCAGAGCCCGGAACGCCAGCAGCCATCCAGGATGCAGCGCTCCAGCGCAGGCCGCCCACAAATCCCCGTCCGCCACAAAATCCACACTCCCCACGCCCACAGTCACCTCCCTCCGGGCAGCATTCCAAGCGCATCGCGTCCCAAAGCGCTCGTACTTCCAGATCAATGCGATGGATCCACAAACCACCAATGCGATCTCCACAGTGCACAGAATCGCCGGCCATCGCTCCCCCACCAAGCTCCCAAACGCCATAGCCACCGCCTCTTCCCCCTCTCTCTCTAGTTCTTTGCCCTAGGACCAGTCTGTTGAATGGCCCGCCACGTGGTGCCTCGCCATTGGCTTCCGGCCGGGGTCTCTGTGTGGGCAGTCGGTCTCTTTTGTGAGAGCGTTTGCTCGTCCTCTTCTTCCCCTCTCTTTCTTTCCCCCTCACATTTTTCTTGTGGAGCTCCGAGATTTGTGCCAGATCTACGCAGCTCATTGTCTTGTGGCCGTGAATCTCGATCCGGCTTTTAGGGTTCTAGCAATGCAGAGATCTCCCCGGAATTGATAGCCTAGCGCATTGGATTCGCGACAAAGGAATGTCGCTTCGTGCTCCCAAGGGCGTGGGGCTTGCATGGCAGCCTGAGAATCCAGCGCTCCTCGGCCGGGCTGGCAGCGTCGCGTCAGCGAAGGCGTCATCAAGCTCCAAGAGTAGAGGAGCTCTTTTTCGTGTCAAGGGGGGCGTTGCGCGTCACAGCATGGATTTCCCACACAAGAACAGGGAAATGGATTCGTGCTCCTCTCAAGATCGCGAAGATGTTTCTTCCAAGCGATCGACCACGAGTCCGTGCCTTCCTGGTAAGTTTGACGCATAGGTAGCTCGCAGGGCTTGATTTTTTCTTGCTCTTTCGATCCAGGGATCATCTATCCTCCAACCACGACTGTGGGAAAATCGACCAACATCTTCTGGCAGGAATGCATGGTGAAGAAACAAGATCGAGAGGCGATGCTGCGCCAGAAAGGATGCGTCGTGTGGATCACTGGCCTCAGTGCTTCAGGTGCTGTTTTTAAGGTGAAAGCTTTGGCTCTAGCGATTCTTTTGACGTGATGTTCTTGCTTCTTTCCTTCCTTCCTTGGCTGGCAGGGAAGAGCACTCTAGCTTGCGCGCTGGATCACGCACTGCTCAGCCGGGGGAAGCTCAGCTACGTTCTCGACGGAGACAATCTCCGCCATGGTCTCAACAACAACTTGGGATTCAGTGCCGAGGATCGAGCTGAAAACATTCGACGTGTTGGTACTCATCTCGATCGACACTTTTTCCAAAAGAGAAAGTTTGTTTAATGTTTGCTTGCTTTTCTAGGTGAAGTTGCCAAGCTTTTCGCCGATGCCGGACTGATTTGCATTGCGAGCTTTATATCACCGTATAGAAAAGATCGCGATTCCTGCCGTCAGCTACTTCCCGCGGGAGACTTCATTGAGGTGAACTGTCTCTTTTTCTTTTGGACAAGATATTGAAGACTGCCAGCACAGGTCTATCTCAAAGTTCCTCTCAGTGTTTGCGAGAAGAGAGATCCCAAAGGCCTTTACAAGCTGGCTCGTGCTGGAAAGATCAAAGGTTTCTCTTTCTTTTTTTTGGGGGGGCTTGCACAGTGCTTTAAGTTGGTTTGTTTCAGGATTCACCGGCATTGATGATCCATACGAGGAGCCTCATAACTGCGAGGTACTTACTGCTGAGACTCTTTTCTGGTTTCACGAGTAAAGCATAAGCCAATGCAGATCGTAATGGAGATAGACGACGGTGCTGTTCCCACGCCTTCGGAGATGGCCGACACCGTCATCTCGTTTCTCGAGCAAGAAGGTTACTTGCCTGCCAAGCAAAACAGTAACAATGGCTCCGGTGTACATACCAACATTGACTGTGAAGGCTAGAGAAGTTTGCTTGGAAACACGGTAAACTGTTATTCCTTTCACTCTTACTAATCCATCCGTTTCCTTTTTTCTAGTAAGAAAGCCTGCAGTTTTGGAAAGCTTCCACGACGAGCTGGGCCGTCTTGAGAGAGCTCTGTGGATTCTGACCCGTGATCAGTCTCCCATCAGCCACGGCGTAAGGTGTCTGGAACCAAAAATCCCGTGAGTTTTCTAAACAACGAGCTCTCCAACTTGGACAAACCCACCCAGTCTGAGCCAGATTCGTAGCGTCCTCCCAGCTTCTTGAGCTTGTCCTCGAGGAGGTATGGAACTTTATCAGTCTTTCCAACCGCGGCTTCCTCCGAGTTGCTGAAACCAGTCACCTGTGACAAGAAGAAAGCGTTACAAAGCGTGATCCAAAGATTTGGAATGGAAGAAACGCTACCTTCTTTCCCTTGACGATGGGATCGCCGTCTGGAGTGAGCGGGCCACAAAGGCCGACTGGACCGTGGCACACAGCAGCGACGATCTTGCCATCGGCCCAAAACTTTTCAACCAGCGCTATGAGCTCCGCGTTCTCGGCAAAGTCGAAGCACACTCCATGTCCTCCTGCGAGAGAAAAAGTGAGACCACACTAAACAATCGAAGAGCTTGCCTGGCAGGAAGATCGCATCGTACGTGTCGGCAGCATCTTTGATCGCGATCGACTTCTCCAGTTTGTCTTTCAAGCCATGCTCTGATAGAAAACCAAGTAGAACCTTACACTCATTTTTGGAAAGAAGTAGAGAGTACCGTTTTGATGAAAGCGCTTGACATGATCAGTGGTGTAGTTCTCCGCAAGACTGTTTGGATCTGGAGAGAGGTCATAAAAAAGACTAGTTGCAAAGATCCAGAAAGATCATCAGCACAAACCCAATGGAATGGCGCCTCCTTTGATGCTTGCAACATCACACTTGGCGCCTTGTTCGATGAACTCGTAGTACGGTGCCGCCAGTTCCTCGGCCCTGCGACACCGCTCAATCCACAAACCTTTTGGATTCCATCACAATGGACTTACCAAAGCCCGGTCTTCTCGTCCACCGCCTTAAAGCGATCGCACGAGGTGCACACAAACAAGACGCGCTTCTCCGCCATAGCCAAAAGCAAGAAATCTCTGTGCGTCTAGAGAGAAAAAAACTGGACGAACCCTTTCTATGTATTCCACGTGTTAGAACAGATATGGAATATAAAAGAGCTTCTTTTCTTTGATCGTAGACTTTCTAGTCGTGCGTAGCGGCGGCAGCGTGACGAGCTGCTCGAGCCAAGGGACCAAACAGCTTCTTTAGCTGCTGAACTCGATCGTTGTGACAGCCAAGGATTGCGGGAGAAGGCTTGGCATCCGCAGCTCCTTGATCGATCAGCAAATCAAAGCCTCCAACCTGTGAAGACATCAAACTAGATCTTCACTGAACAAGAGAAAAGCTTACTCTTTTCGGAGAGCTTTGCGCTGGTAGACGTCGCTCCATGTCCACAATGGAAAGCAAGTCGTCCAGCATTCCAAACTTGAGGTCGTAGTCGGATGGAGTATCAGCAGCCAGGCTCGGAGATGCATTTACCTGCACTTAAAACCTGTGAGAGAAATGAGAAAGCTTGTATGGTACGTACTTCGAGCAACCACGGCTTGAGAGACTCGTCCACGAGAATGTCGTATCCATAGAGCTCGAAGCAGTGCTTGTCCTGGATGATTACGTTTTGCACCGCTATAAGTGACCGGATGATTATCATCTGGATGTTGTGGAAGAGCTCGTTCACGGCCTTCTCTCCATGCTTGGTGATCATGTGTATCTTCAAACTCTGTAGTGGCCTGGTGAAAGAAATTTGTTTAATGCAAAAACATGTGAATGGATCACTCACCATTTTGTTCCATTCTTTGAATCGTAAGTTGGGGCCGTCTTCTGTATAGCAAAATTCGTGAGATGGACGTAGTTGTTCAAGATATCTTCTTTCTTCATGCTGAAACGCGTGTTTGTGAATCTCGCAAAACCTGATCTGTATAGGTAGGCCTGGAAAGATCGAGTAAAATGACCTTCAAGACGTAGAAATGGCATAACAGGGAGTACCTTCAGTGGTGTATATGCCATGACCAAAACGTAGATCCGAAGATCAAATTTTTTGCCGCCGACCAGGTAAGGATTGTTGATGTATCGTTGAACAATGTAGCTTTCCACCTGGCCATAGCGTTCATTTCTCAGGAAATCACGAGAGCACTCACCTGTGGATTATCAACTTTCCATCGATGATCCTTCTTCCATTCACTGATCTGCCCGAGCTTGTGGAACAAAAAGATACCTCTTCCTTGTGCTTTTCCAACGGGTTTCATTATCCAGACTCCCTGCAAGGGAATTTCTATAAGAAAATGTAAAGAAAGAGTAAAACTGGATCTTAGCATACCGCATTTCGCTTGAACTGCTCCACAAAGAGGCCATATTCTGCGGGCAAGGCGTAAGTGGGTGGAAAAAAATCGTACTTTGCAGCTTCCGCGGATCGACTGTCTTTCTCAAGTGTTTTCTTCATGCGCTTCAAGTTCTTGATGAGCAAATCTTTCCGTGTCAGCTGTAGGGAGCATTCTCAGGTATTACACCACCTCACAAGGACATACCTTTTTAGTGCATGGATTACAAGAATGCCTGGGAAATGTACCTCGTAGTAGTTTCTAAAGTGATTGATCCTCTGCAAAGAAAAATTAGCCCATGGCTGATGCAACAAGAGCGTCGTGTACCTGGTGGTCTGCGAGATGGATATGGTCGAAAAACTCGTGCAACCAGCTCACATCGGACCAGAAAAAATCCCAATCTAGCTCACTGCATCGCCACACTCGAGAATAAAGCAAAGAAACAATAGCTCCAAGTACCTGTCCGTCTCGCTCCACTGCCGGGCCTTCAAAACTTCGTAGATAACTGTCTTCCAGGAGCAGCGAAACCGGATGCTGGAAAATTCACAGAAAAAATGATTCCAGCAAATGTACAAGAAAGAAGCCAGCAAATGTACAAGAAAGAAGCAAGCATATTACTTGGGGTTGGGCTTTCCAAGAATTCTCTGAGCCATCCAGCTGAGCAGCGGCACAAGCAGCGATGGACGAGAAAGCAACGAGCCCTAATCCACGCAACGAGTCTCGGACACCTGAAACGGACGCCGTTGACAGTTTAGAACATTCCTGTCGGTTACAGTTAAGGAACGCTCCCGTTGAATATCCCCGAAACCCTAGCTCCTCCTCTACCTAGAAATCGCTCTCTCCGAAAAGAATGCGCCATGGATCGAGCACGGAATGCTCCCCCAAAGATCTAGGAATCGAGAATGCCCTAAACTATAAACCCTAAAAAAAGAAGGCGGGCTGTTTAAATCCAAATTCAAATTTCAAATTCCAATCCAATGTGAATCATCCTTCTATATTTAAAAGAGCAAGGGTGACATATTCAATCGAGATTCTTTTCGAGTTTAATGGTGGAGATGAAGACACATGGCAAAAAAACAGTTGAGGTTGAAACTTTTTTTTTTTTAGGGTAAACCAGTTTTTTTCAATGCATTTTTCCAGGAGAGCTTACTGCACACCATCAGGTTCGCTGCATGATTGCATTGGTCCTTACGCGCGGCTGCACACCATGAGGTTCGCTGCATGATTGCATTGGTCCTTACGTTATATACCTTGTGCTCATATGCCGTCAAAGAGACCTCTGACTTTCCACAGCACTTGTGGAATCGTGAACAGACCATCTGATCACAATAGTGTGCTGTCCAAAGGCTGCCAGGCGCTCAAGATTTCCACCCAGATCGACTTGAAAAGCATTCTACCATTCAGTCGGAGCACCTGTATAATACACTTGTAAGTCTGTGAAAGCAGTTTACTGGATCTCTGAAAGACAGTTCTTTCTTTTCCCTCTGAGTTGAGAATGCTCTTTTTTTGCAGTGTATCTATGTGTCTCAGAGCGTATTGGCAGGATTGGAGTAAAGGTTAAGCTCATCGACTCGGAATTTCCTTTGTTTAAAGGTAAGGTTTTCAATGCAATGCTTTTTCTTTTATTCTTCTTTTTTTTGCTAGAAGGTCTGTCCACCGATCTTTGTTTTTCAGGAGTGGATCTTTGATACCCTAGCAAATGGAGAGAAGCACGACTAAATTTCAGACATTTATCTTGCAACCAGACAACCAGTTATGTGCAGGGTTGCAGGTTGCAGGGTCCCCAATGGGCGTAAGTCATTTTCATTTCCATCTTGCTGCATCTTCTGTTGTTTCTCCAGCTCTACAAACATGGAGTTATAATCTGTGACAAATGCTATGCTGTTCATTGAAGCATGGGAGCTTCTGTATCAAAGGTAAATGTAAATAATCTCTCTTCCCAATTTTATGTCCCTTTTCAACAGTTTATGTCCATAAATTCCAACGACTGGACAGACAAAGGGGTTGAGCTTATGCTGTTTATTGGTGGCAATGCAGCTGCAAATGCTGCATACGAGGCCTTTGTTCCTAAATCTTGGCAAAAGACCCATGCCAGAATCATCCAATCAAGAGCAATTAGAATTTGTAAGGTTCAGGAGATGCAAAACTGTTTTCTATATTTATTTTTCAACCATCAATGTTTTCTCAGAAGCAAGTATGAAAGACAAAAATTCGTAAAGCCATGCATTTGGCTTCCTCTTGTCAAGAGTCGACATTCTTTCAAGGCAAGAAGATTCTTCTGTTCAATGCTTCAATTCTAGAGGTAACCTTACAGTGAGGGACTTCATGATTGGTGACCCTTATGTTGTTCTCACCCTATGAAACCAGGTATGTGTCGTTCCTATTAATACAGCTCAAGCAAGTTGAGGAAGATTTGCGAAGCACAAAGGCAAAACATAAAGACTTTCAGAAGCAAGTTGTAAGAATCTCATGAGAACTGAGTTTTACAAACATACACGTTTTATCAGCCTTTTACTAAACCGGCCATAGTCTATTGTTTAGCAAGATTGGCCAAAGTTAATGTTATAAGCCTCATTATAATAAGAATAAAGCAGTGTCTACCTACTACCTTCTAAATCTCCTCAAAATATGTGCATACTTGCACACATCTTGGATAGGAGAAATCCCAACACATTGCAATGCAGTCCTGGCATGCTGCAAATTTGGAGAGCCAAGTGCTGAATTTCCTACAAAATAAAGAGTAGGATCTTGAAAGGCTTCTTGAATGTTCTTTCCTTGCTGCTCTACGGTTATCTAGCATGTTAGGTGAAAGTCTGTAAGAATTCACCAGCAATCGTCCAGTCTTGAGCATGTTGCTACCAACTCTAAAGCCATGTACAGTTGACCAGCTTCTAGCTTTGTATGAGCACTAGGTCATGGTGCAGGGATTTATCTGGGGAATCAACTCCTTCGATAATGGGGTGTGAACTCGGCAATGTAAACTTGGCTTTTCATCATCTGAAACTAATTGAAAATCCAATCTTTTCAGGTGCTTGCATCCCGAGTTTGCATACAGATGAATGCTTCACAAACAAACGAAAGCCCATAGAATGATCTAATCATAGTTCACAATGCTGCTCAACCGTTATTTAAAGGTGAGAGAACTTGGACAGAGCATGACTTCATAACTTTTTGATAATGAGTGAGCTCTTGAGCTTTGCAGGTACATCACGGCTAAAGAACACAAGCAATCTGTGCTGCAGCACAACCCAACTTGCTGAATAATATCTTATTGCCAAATGTAACGAAGGAAAATGATTTAAGAAACAGATTCGGAAGAAGAGATGTTGGACTATCCTGTAGAATTTTTAAACTCAGTAACACCATCTGGAATGCCTCCACA